ATAGTTTTATTCTATATTTTTTGTGTCTTCTATAAATTTAATGCACTTCGCTCAGCTACCCCGTGCACAATGTTAACGCACGGGGCCCTACGTTTCCTATTCCTGTTGTTGAAAGCAATTTTGGCAGCCTTTAGCTTTGGAGCCCCTCGGTCTGTTCTGGGGAAAATTGGAAAATTTGGGATCACAACAACTGTGCCCTTCTCTGGAATTTCGTTTGGGTCAAAAGGTTTGGTTTGAGTCGGTTGAGTTAGGAGGAGCTGTCCACTAATAGAACGCTGGTTAGGGCGCCGCCCCGCCCCGCGCAGTGACAGTCGGGCGACAGCACGCCGATGACTGACGCGTCCAGCAGACTTTCCTTCCTGGTGTTGGGCGCGTCGACGTGTGACTACAGCTGCCAAGCCAAACCGCGCCGCACACGTGTGCCATGCCGTACGCCCTACACGGGCAAAAAAAAAAACAATACTTAACAATTTTGTGGCAGGCTCGTGGAATTTATTATTTCTACTTGTGAATGTGTAAACCCCCTTTTGTTCGCGGCTGCTTGCCTGCTTGTGCAGCAGAGGCTGCTTGTCCTCGGCAGCTGTTTAGGAACTCGTAAAGGAGCTGCGGCTGCGCATAATTCCTTTTGCGTGCTGCGGATAGTCGCGTCGTGGAGATGGCGTGAGTTTCGCCGTGCGCGTCGCAGGTCACCCCGCTCTAGGCTCGCCGCACCGCCTCGCACGCACCGAGAAGGGCAATGCGGTAGTCAATGCCGCGCCGCGCGAACTTCAGCCTCTGCCTCATTATATTTCTTTAAATTCGCATTGTAATTTGGTGGGAATAAGTGTGCGCGGTTTTTTAAAGGTTTTGAAAAGAACGGCGTACAACTTGGCGGGGCCACCCCTCCGTGTTGTAGTTCCACGTGTAGGCGCCGGCGCGTGGCCTCACGTGCCGTGGGTTCGGAAGGACCTGCGCCACCTGCGCCCGCCTGTCGACGCCTTGGCATTGCTCGCACCCTCTCCTTCCGTATTAGTAGTACTTACTCTTTCCTCCTTATCGGACTTCTCTCTCCCCCCTCTCTCTCCCTCTCCCCCCC